CTTTACATGGTGCATTAATTAATTTATGGGATGGCCATTTAATATGGTCATTCCATAAATAAATGGATGGAATGGTGGCACCATGGATAGTGTTAAAAGAATCTGGATAAATTCCTAGAAAACCAAGTCTATTAAGAGCTATTGGTCTTGAATACTGTGTTACATTGGGATTGGGGACGGCATGTCTCCAAAAAACAGTCTCAAAAGAATGACTGTGGAAGATGAGTGATGTCTCTGTGCAATGTAACATACCCAAGTATGGGCTATGGTAGATTGGACCCCACCATGGTGGGAGAGTCATGTGTTATAGACTTTCCCAGAAGAAGCACCACAGGCTTACTGATCTTATTAAATGTCTGTTTTATATATAGCAAAATCACAGACCTAGAAGACAGTTGAAAAAGGAAAGGGGGGGGAGGAAAGGGCATATTGGAAAAGCCAGTTTAGTGTAGTGGTTAAGTCATCAGGATAGAAACCATGAGACTGTGAGTTTTAGTCTCACCTTAGGCACAAAATCAACTGGATGACCTTGAGACAGTCACTCTTTCTCAGTCCTAGGAAAGAAGCAATGGCAAACGATTTCTGGAATCTTGCCAAGAAAACTGCAGGGATTTGTCCAGTGAACAGGAGTCCACACTGACTGGAAAGCACACACACACACACACACACAAATGGTTTTTGAAGCTGATCTCAGCCACCTGCTTCCTCCAGCCCAAGGTCTCACACACATATACACAGAGCACTTATTATTACAGCTCATTGAACAGTCAGCCAACTGTACAGACTGGATGTGGCATTTTTATCCACTTATTGAGTCCTTTTCCCAAGGACTTGGAATATGGAGATGTTGTTGTTTGATGGTATTAAAGGTATCCTCACAGGATATAAACTGTTCCAAGTAAAGCTGCTTTTTTGCAATTGACTGATAGCATTCAAGGGGGGCTCCAGATGTTTTGGGATTGCATCTAAGGCACCTCTTACTATTGGTACTGTTTTCTTTTGCCACAGTAGTTCTACTCCCCCCCGCAGGACTTTATGTTTTGTTATTTTCACCAGTTCTTTCTCTTCTCTTCTGCTGTCTCCAAGTATTACCACGTGCACTATCCATAGTTTTTTTTTTCTTTCTTATTGACAATAGGTAGGTCTAGAGTGTTATGCAGCATCGATATCATTTTTATTAGCATTTTATTTTATTTTTTAAAATTTGTATGCTGCCTGACTTCCAACTCTGTGTGGTTCTTAAATTAAAAAACAATTTTAAAAATCAATAAAACAATATAATAACAAAAATAAAAGATCCAATCTGGGTCAGTCACCAGAACCAGAGGTTTTTGTCTTCTGAGCTTTCGGACTGGTGCTGGAGACAATCTCCAGGGAACTTCTCTCTAGCTGAGTGTGTGCTGTTCTGTGTGTGGTATTTATAGTGCCTGTTGTAAGTGGCTTTTTAAATGTTGATTGGGGTATGTTGATGGCTGGCTGTTAAGTCATTAAGTGCCTTTGGCTTGTGCTACTCAGCCCTCACTTTCTAAGTACTTGATAGGCGGGTGGTAAGTCAGCACTCCTGTTGACTGATAAGGGGCCTGTTTCCCAGGCCTCAGTCACTTCCCTGGCTGTTTTTTGTGCCTGCTCGCCCAACATTCAACTTTGCAGTGACTAAGATTGTTGGACAAGCAGGCACAAAAACAGCCAGAGAAGTGATTGAACTGGAAAGCTCAGAAGACAAAACCTCTGGTCCTATTATCGTGGGATAGGTATATTTGCCTTCATTCTTAAGAATAAAAGATGGCCAAGTTGCAAAAAAAAAAAATGGACTCACACAAGCCAAAAGAGAAATCACCTTTGCTAAGGGCCGAAGCAAAGCAACCCCAATCTAGCCCATAAAATAAAACAGAATCTATTTCATAACTGGCTTCACTGACCCCACCCTTCTATCTAAATGCAAGTTGTCAGGCCAGCTACTCTCAGCTGCACTTTCCTCTTATTTGGTTTGTAGCCAGCTTTGAAGAAGGGGATAAAAAAAACCAAGACAATGGCAAAGGAGAGAGATTTTCTGCCTGTGAGTTCCTGAGTTCCTCCTCACCACTTGATTTTCCCTGACTTCAGTTTGATCCACCCATTAACCCTTAGAGAGCTTGGACTTCTGAAAGTACAGTAGAATTCCTCTACCTTTATCCCACTCTGTCTCCTGCTTGCCAGTACCACATAGACAACTGGTTGGCTACAGTGAGAAACAAAATGCTAGACTAGAATGGACTTAATCTGATCCAGAAGGATGGCTCTCATATCAATATGTACTTAACAGGCTTATCTGTGACTGTTGTGATAATAATCAGTCCCAGAGTGCCCAGGCAGAACTATCTTGCTTTATATGCAGATATTAATCAAAGCAGCATTAAATGATATGTTTGAGTAATATATCACTTGATATCATCTCAGACAGAGCTTGTTCATAACTTTGAGGTGAAAATCAAAGAGTGACTCACAAATGGGATGAAGGACTATTTCCAAATCAGTTCTAAGCAATTTGAGAGAGAGAAAGAATTCCTTGAATTACAGTTGTTTAAAAAAGAAAGATAAATGTGAGGTTGACATCCAGTTTCTGTAAATGTAGACCCTCTTGGGATTAACATTTCATTATAATAGGCTAGCTTCCAAAGAATGCAATCCTACGCTATGCTTCCTACTTTGAAATCTGAGTCCTGATGCACATAGCATTGTTATTCAATCTCATTTTCACTGCTTCACCCTTTTAAAGTTCTAAAATGGCTCTAAAGTATCTGTGAGGCTAGCAGTATTAATTCCTTCCCTGTAACTTTACTCCATGTTATTCAGAATATGCTTTTCAGTGATGAATTCTTGAAGACAAGGAAACACTTCCTTATGTTAAACAGTTGGGTTCCTTTCTACATAACAAAAACAACCAGAATGTGCCATTCTTATATAGTCATGTCTAATAATAGTTAACACGTGAAGCTTTTCATGGTGTGGAAATCAGTTTCTATAATTCAGTATATACTTAAAAACACAGGAACAACTGATTGAAAGATTATTCAGGGTGCAAATTAATTTAGTAGATTGAAATATTATATCCCATGGAAAACCGTACACACAGGTGCTTTGCATACCACTGGATGCCATATGTTTTGATGCATTATCTGCTAAAATAGTCTTTCCTATTGGGTCCACGTAGGGTTATGGGGTCAAAATAGGCAAGTCATGGTAGCATTAATGTGGGATGCATGTACAAAAGGGATGTGGGTTAGATTGCACTTGCCCAGCTGCCAACTTATCCAAAGCAAGTACCCTTGTTGCTGCAGGCTCCCTTCAGATATCTTAAGTCTACAACATCCCCCTTAGGACAAGGACAGTGAGTTAGGGTAAAACTATCTCCAAATGTCTTTAGATACAATGATCTGGAACACCACAGTACAGAATTTGGATCTGAAGTAGACAAAGGTGTTTTAGAGCTTGCAAAGTACCCTTGCTTTGCATATGGGTGGCACAGAAAAATACATTGTGAATTAAGGAAGAAGCAATCCTAGTTTTTTTTAAGAAGCACCCAATAGTTGCAATAAAATGTCCACACTACATCCAAAGTATCTTTGTCCATTTTGAATCTGAAACTACACACCTCCACTCTAGAACAAAATCACTTCAGGACAGCAGTACACAGTCTGAATGCTCAAGGACACATGCATCTTTTAGAAAACACCCTGCCCCAAGTTAATGTCTTATTATTTTAATAGATTGAGAAAACAAAGCAATAAAATATATGGGGAAGAGTTTAATCTTAATTGATTCCAATTTTGTAGTTGTCCTGACCCTTTTAGAATGCAACTGACAAGCCAAGTCCTCTGTCTTGAATATGGTTGCATAACAATGTTTTAGGGAATGAAGTAAGGAAATGACATAAAAGCTAGTCAATAAAATTGGCACTATATGCAAACAATTAGTTTTCTGATGCTAGGACCAAATTTGGGGCAAATGACATTGGACATTTATTTATTTGCAAGTATCTGCAGAAGAGCAAGGTTTTCTAAATTAAACAGAATATTGTTTATGTGAACTTTGCAATAGAATTTTCCAATTAAGCACAAGGTGAGCATGGGCTGAAGGGACATAACCTGAATATATTCTCAGTGTTTTATCAACCATTTTAATCATGCTGAATTTTAATGCTCTGACACTCATATTTTCAAAATTTCCTGGTACCCACCAAGATTTTTTTTTTTTACTTGACTTCCATATATACATTTAGAAACATTCTGGATTAGTAGCCATTTGCTTTTTTCATTGCAACTAAAGAGACCATATTGAAGGAAAGAATAACAGTAATCATAGTCCAACATGAATGGACAAGAGTGCTATATAGGTCTACAATCAGTTACATGTAAGAGTATTTTAAGACAGAATCTGCATTTTATATTGTTAGATGAATAATTCAATCACTTTGTTTAATATATTTCATGGTAAATGTTTAGTTATAATGTACAGAACCTTTAATCTATAATTATATCATAAATATTATTACAAACAAAATTAGCAGACTGTAAGAACATTTTATTACTGTAACTAAAAACCTACCTAAAGAACTATTAATGCCTAAATAATATAAGGAAGATATTACCACATGGGGCCCATGCTATCCATGACTACATTCACATAACTTCTTGTTTGATTGGCCCTGAATTAGTTTTCAGCTTTGGACCTTCTTGACCTTTGCCAGTCATAGCATAAATATCAAATTTGCAGTCTCTGAGTCTTCTCCTAAATAAATGTCGGTAGCTTTGCAAAAAGAGATGCATTTTTGTATTCCCAATCTATGTACCTCTGCCTTAATAAACTTTGTAAGATAAAGCCAATCTTAAGCTCAGCATTAGCAGTTCTCACCCTAGGTTTGAAAAATACAACTAACAGTTGCTTAATTATAAACTGTAAATTAACAGATTAGTCCATTCATTACAAGACTTCAGACTGAAAGAGGTGAGATGCACACTGACCATAATCTGTATTTTCTGGCTCCCAACAATTAGATGGCCAAAAATAGGGTGTCTGCAAAACAAAACAAAGAAAAAAATTGGACAAAGCAACACATGATACATATTCTGAATGTCAATTTTTGAGTCACTGTAAGTGAGATGGGCAGCTATAAAATATGATAAAATTAGCTATTCTTGAGAATCATTGATTGAATAAAAGTGCATGTTTGAATAGCTGTGTTAATTCATTAATTCCATTCAATTTATATACCATCTTGTTCTCAACAACTCTTTTTGTGTGACAATGCTAAGGCTATGTATCTCTGATGTTGTTGTTGTGTTGGAGTTTTAATGCTATGGATAGGGCATTAAATGCAAAAACAAAATCTCCTATTAGCACTCCCTATTCTGAAATTGTGCAAGTAACCCAATATTAAGCTGAAATTAGTTTCTTCTATAAACAAGAGTTCTTGATCTTTTCTAAATATTCTGAACTGTTCTTGAATGCAAGGACTTGCCTTGACTGTAATGAATAGCTTGAAACCAGGTTTTAGTTGCATAATTAAACTCTGTGGCCCACCTACTTGTCAAAAGGCCCTAGCCTATGTCTGGAAGTTGAATCATACCAAATTTTTGGTTTGAAACCAAAAAAGTTGCCATGACTTAACTTCCAGATAACTCTTTCTGGGTGACTGAGAATCTTCACTGACATATCACCCTAGTACAGTGGTTCTCAATCTGTGGGTCGGGACCCCATTTGGGGTCGAATGACCATTTCATGGGGGTCACCAAACAACGCAGTCTGCCATTTTTTCCCCCTTTTCCTTAGCTGTGCTACTCCCTTTTATTCTATTGGTTTTTGAAAGCCAATAGAATAGACTCTCTTGAATAGAATCTAATTCTATTGGCTTTCAAAAGCCAATAGGAATTGTCCAGGCTGTCTCTGCCCTACTGAGCCCGCCAAAAGTCCCATTCTGCAAACGGTGCTGCACCAGTTGAGTAGTCCTCGACTTATGACCGGTTGAGTAGTCCTTGACTTACGACCAGTTGGGGATCACGGCATTAAAAAGGTTGAGAACCACTGCCCTAGTATATACTTTTTTCATACAATCAATCTAGCTATGGATTAGAAGAAAGAAAAAAAGCTGTAAATTATCTATATATTAAAATGAAAATAGTGGTGCTGCTTATGAAAGGCCAAATGTATAGATTTTCCCAATACTACTATTTCCACAATTCATATCCACTGGCCATATTTTCTAGAAGTTCTAGTGATTATAGATCAGATCATTTAGGAAGCATCAAGGGAGGGGAGACTATTACATTAACATAATATTAAGAGTATTAAGAGTGAGGAAAAGGAAAATATCTCTATCTGACAGAATGAGGTACATATTGATTAGACCATCACTTTATGAAGAGAATTGCTTACTGTTTGGGGTGAATAACTCCAATTCTAATCATTAGTTAAGGTTTAAAAAACAATGCTGTAAAAACTTACTTGGAACCGATAAAAGGTACCATCATCCTTCAGAGTTAGAACATGGTCTGAGATAGGGAAGAAATAACCATGGGCTGCCATAAGTGTTCCCAAATGAAGGGCTTCCACTATACCAGAAGGAGACAAAAACATTGTCATGTTTTATTTTATGCATTTTTTTCCTACTTGAGGGATGTTAGAACCCCTTCTATGGTAGAATTTTCATGAGTCAGTGACAATTTGGCTGATGAAATTATCAATTATAGGAATTATAGGAAATTATAATAAATTATAACTGAATAAATTATATAAATTATAGGAAATAAATTCATTCTTACAATTGATAGCAATGATAATATTAAAATAAGAGTACTTGCCATCACTGTGCATAAGCTGTGGTGGCGCAGCAGTTAGAGTGCAGTACTGCAGGCCACTTTAGCTGACTGTGTTCAGCAGGTCAGCGGTTCAAATCTCACCGGCTCAAGGTTGACTCAGCCTTCCATCCTTGTGGGGTAGGTAAAATGAGGACCCAGATTGTTGGGGGCAATTTAAATATATATATATACATTGCTTACTGGTGTACACCGCTTAGAGAGTGCTTGCACTTCAAGCGGTATATAAGTCTCATAAATAAATAAATAAATAAATTATGCAATGATGTCTCATGCAAAGATATTCTCATGATGACATCATAAAGCATGTGTTGTCGTTTGCCCTTGCTCTCATGTCAACACCCTTAATCATGAAAAAAATATTAATATCCTTGTGTTTACCACGTATTAAGAACAGGAGGCAACAAGAGAAATCAAACATTAAATTGTATTGAATTTAGATTGGGAAAACTCTATTAAGGAATGTTTTTTTATTTTTCTGCATAAAAAACTTGGACATCCTAACATAGATAATGGAATGTTTATTTACCATCAGAACAATAAGCACATTATAAAATCAAACATTACTATTCCACAGTAATAAAGTGCTCTAAGAATATATTTATATAGGCAAAGCCCATTCTGCAGTCAATTAATTGGTTTGATATTCTTTGAATTTGTGTCTATTGGGATAATCCATTATAATGTTCATTATCACATAGTTGCTCTTTGTAGGTTATTTAAAGAAATCCCTCATGGATGACCTTAACTGTTATAACCCTGCTGCAAATCATCACGAGTACAAGGGGGCTTCAAACATGACCCACTTATGAAGAGGCAGAGTAATATAATAATGAAGTGGTTAAATGTGGACTGAAACAATCCATTTTCAAGTCCCTCCTCTACTACAAAGCTTACAAGGTGACTTTAGATCAGTTATCTTCTTTCAAGATTGTTCTTGTAAGGATAACATTAGTGAATATTGCCATATGCTTCCAAAGGAAAAAAAAAAGAATGCTGATGATAAGGATATAAAAACATTAATAAGGCAGCTCCATGCAAAAAGCTTTGTGATAATAACACAGCTTCAACACAGTTCTAGGCTGCATTAACAGAGGGATAGAATCAAGATCACGTGAAGTGTTAATACCATTTTATTTATTATTTATTTATTTATTTATGAGACTTATATATCGCTTTAAGTGCAAGCACTCTCTAAGCGGTGTACACCAGTAAGCAATGTATATATATATATTTACATTGCCCCCAACAATCTGGGTCCTCATTTTACCTACCCCGGAAGGATGGAAGGCTGAGTCAACCTTGAGCCAGTGACCTGCTGAACACAATCAGCTAAAGTGGCCTGCAGTACTGCACTCTAACTGCTGCGCCACCTCGGCTCTTTTATAATGCCTTGGTAAGGCCACACTTGAATAATGCATCCAGTTTTGGTCACCACGATGTAAAAAAGATGTTGAGACTCTAGAAAGACTGCAGAGAAGAGCAACAAAGATGATTAGGGGACTGGAGGCTAAAAAATGTAAAGGAACGTTTGCTGGAATAGGGTATGTCTAGTTTAATGAAGAGAAGGATGAGGGGGGACATGATAGTAGTATTCCAATATCTTAGGGGCTGCCACAAAGAAGATGGAGTCAAGCTATTCTCCAAAGCACCTGAAGGCAAGACAAGAAGCAATGGATGGAAACTAATCAAAGAGAGAAGAAACCTAGAACTAAGGAGAAATTTCCTGACAGTTAGAACAATTAACCAGTGGAACAACCTGCCTCCAGAAGTTGTGAATGCTCCAAAACTGGAAGTTTTTAAGAAGAGATTGGACAGCCATTTGTCCAAAATGGTATAGGGTTTCCTGCCTGAGCATGGGGTTGGACTAGATGACCTCCAAGGTCCCTTCCAACTTTACTACTATTACTACTATATACATTATTATTACTTATTATAACCTTTTCCCTGAAATGGTATAGGGTTTCCTGCCTGAGTAGGGGGTTGGACTAGAAGACCTCCAAGGTCCCTTCCAACTGTGTTATTCTGTTCTGTTCTGATAAAAGAGTAACTCAGAGGAGTTACATGAGGTTTCTTCAGCAGTCTTTTATACTAAGAGCATATTTTAAGAATAAGTTGAATACAAGGTACTTCGACTATTCTGGCCAGTAATCTTGGGGACACCTTATTGTTCTTTTTAATAGCAAGCTTAAATAGTCCCACTTAACAAAATTAATGCATATTCCAGAAACTTGTTCTTTTTAGTTACTACTTCCAAAAATGGATTTTAAAAAATTAAAATTGAGTCTCAGAGAATGTGGAAATATGCCACAGGGACACTCTACTTTGTGTCCCCTTCCTTCTGACCTTAAGCACAGGAGAAAGAAAGTTATAAGTAACTCCTTTCTTCTAAAGATGAGATAGACAAAGCCAGCTGGCATGTACTGCATGGGACAGGAGCTTCCCCCCCATTTCTACTGTCTCTCCCTCCCTTACAGTTCCATCTGTTTCATCAGGGTTTGTAGGAAGAAGAGATTGGGGGAAGAATTGTCATCTCCTCCTCCTCTACCACCTCCTCTTCTCCAAACCTGTCTGGGCATATGGAGAGAGTCCTGCCGAGTTTAGTTGTCACCACTTTTGAGAGGGCTTAGTGTGGCTAAAGAGACAAGAGGCACTGGGGGCACATTGCTGTTACTGTTGAGAAGTTATTGTGAATTAAGCAAGCAAGCAAATAAACAAACCATAACACCGAAATTATAAATACTGTACATTCAGCTAGAGTGAAGAGTCTGTTACATTTTTTTTCTCAAGCAATGTAAAGGTTAGATTTCCTACTGCAAACTTCAGCTACATCACTCAATATCGGGAAATTAGTAGAGAAGGAGGTTGTGACCCATCTCCATTGTTCCAGAGGGCTGAACATGAAATCTGCAGGAAGGCAGATTCTGACTGAATGTTAGAAATTTTTTTTCCTAACAATACAACAATGGGATCAGTTATAACGATGAGCTCCCCTTCACTGGATAGTGAAGCTAGATTTATGCCAGAGATGCTTTAAGTGAAGCCTCTGCATTAAGCAGCAGGATAGACTGAGTAGCCTAATGGCTTTTTTCCTTTAGGATTCTGTGACTTATCATCTTAATGATAACAAAGATAATTCAAGTTTGATCCCAGGTATCTCAGGAAAAGAAGACAGTTCACTGTCTTTTGATGATGATAAAATGAATTGCCTAGTACAGCAGCTTTTCTCAACTTCATGATCGTCAGCCAGCATAAGTCAGCAGTGAGAAATAAAAATTATTGTTAACAAATCTCAAAGGATGGATAATCCTAAAACAATCTAATACAAAGTTCATCTCAGATTCTGTTTTTTTTCTTTTAATTTCTTTTCCAGATTACAGGTAGTCTCTATTTACTGACCACTTCATTTAAAGTTAAAGTTATGGTAATGTAAAAAAAAAATTAAGCCTTGCAACCAACTTTACTACCATTGCAGCATCCCATTTGATCAACATTCAGTGGGCTTTGCAACTGGCACACATTCACAACTTTTGCAGTGCCCTATGCAATCACTCTTTGTATACTTGGCCACTGGCTTGTAAGAAGCAAAGGTAATGGAGAACACAGAAATAAAATGGCAAGTCACTGCCGTATGATGTTTTGCTTAATGACCAAATGGGAAGTGATGTCATAACAGATTATTTTCCACTTAGCAACTTTAGCACTTAGTGACAGAGTCAGTGATCCCAGTCATGGTCGCTAAGTGAGAATTATTTGCATTTCTTCAATTTCCTTTATAGTTACCATTCCCTCCTGTTTGGGGATTTAAAATGTCTTTCCTCAACTTTGTCCAGTCTCATAGGAAAGTTATCAAAGGATCATTTTCCCCTCCCCAGAATTACAGTTTATAAATTCTTCTCATGGGTCTTGATCATTTATTAATTAATTTGTCCATTCATTTATTATCAGAAAATGATTTAAGACCTTTATTAGTAACTTTTTAATGTGTTTCTTAAGCACTGTAGATAATGCTATTAGTCATCATATAAATTACTAAAATAACTGTATACGGCAGAGATTAGTCTGTTTTCCCCATTCAAACACAAGTGCCTCTCTCTTTCTAAGGCATCATAGAAGGAACACCTGAAACAGGAGATAGAATAGGTTCTTTTCAAATTGAAATTCAACTAATAAATACTTGAACACAATTGCAGTTCCAGAATGATATTCTGAATATAATGGAACATATTTTAAATAATGAATTTTCAGAAATATAAATATAGCTTTCATTTCCAAAATACAAATATAGCCTTTGCTTCATGGTTACTATAGCAGTTGAAAGTTCAATGTCAGATGTTTCATGTGCAGTGTATTTTGTGAAGAAAAAGTTTCAATTTTTCTGGGACACATTGAAGCAGATTTTTAACTAAAGTGCTCTTCTAATCAACCAAGCAATGTTACCTGGCATTTATTTACCTGGACTATGCAAGAAGAATACACGTTCCCATAACAGAATCATATTATTTTATTTTACTTTTTTTAAGACTAGATTTATTATTTATTAAAATATTTCTACTTTGCCCACCATTCTAAGATCCTCAGAGTAAGTTACAACCCTTAAATATATTAGATGAAAATTAAACTGAAGTAAAATAATAAATTGTTAGAATAATACCCAGCAATAAAAAAACAATGGGATAACAGCCAGGTTCAAATGCCACCTAAACAGCTGTCAACCCTGGCACCAGTCTGGCTTT